CCCATCAGTGATGGGTAGTACAAAAAAAAAAAACCGCTTTGACACTTTGATTCTATAATACAAATATGCAAGGGCAATAACGAAAAGTTTAGATAGGAAAAAAAATCAAGATTTTTCACTTGGTAATTTTGTTTGAGAACAAAGCAAATTGCATACACATCACCAAGCAGAGCAAAAAATAAACACGTAAATCAGGTCGTAAAGGGCTCGTGTGGAATATAGGTTGCCAGACTTTGGTAACGGCATGCATGTGTACACGTCTATAAGTACTTACGTGGGGAGAAAAAGAGTCAAGAGTGTATGTATATATGCACTACAGGTGAGAAATAGAGAGAGAGAGAGAGAGGCACAGTTTTACATGCAAGAGTAGACGTAGGTATACACACCTACATCCATCCCTTTGTCTTCATTCGAGTACCTATATCTATACATATACTTTCGATGGGCAAGAAAAGAGGGTGGCACATATTAACCGACTCCCGCAAATAATCGATCACTTCGCTATGGTTAGCTGCACGGCAAAGGGCACTCCCTTTTAGCTTTTTTTTTTTCCTTTTTTTTTTTTTTTTTTTTTTTTTTTTTTTCTATCGTGTAAGTGAACTCTTCGAAGAGCTCGATCTGGAAATCCCATCACTGATGGGTAGTACATAATTTCTAGAGAGAGTCAAGTTCCTGATTTTCGTCCGTAGAACATATTTTATTCAAGACTCTACACATTTTATACAAATAAATGAATTGAATTCTGCAACATATAAATCTGTGAGCATTGGATCAACAGCTAAATTAATTTATCCACAACTAATAAACCAGATGTAGTGAATCATACAAATTTTCGAAATGCCGAAACTCCTACAACAGAGCACGAGGACGCTTGGATTTGGAAACGTGAAAAAAAAAATTTATCGATATTTGACAAAGTTTTTATTAAATGTAGTGAAAAAAATCTCTATGCTTGTATAAATTAAAAGTAAAAAAAAATTTTTTTTTATCGATTAGTTGCCACCGGCTGATTAGCACCTGTCTGTGTGTAACTTGGCTGGTTGCCACGGGTGCTATTGAAATTAAACATTGTAATTGCAGCTTCTCGTACACACGCAAATATCTCATTAGTAACACTAAACGTACGTAAAGTCCATATCCAATTTAGTACCAAAATTTACGTTTTCCAAAGTCTTTTACGTAAAAAAAACATACAATTATTGCTCGGCACACAGTGTATAGGCATCCCCCGACAGTTTTCACGGCCACGGTAGGCCTTAACGAGCGACAATATCACATATTTATAAAACACACATCGTAAGCTTTAATGCCACGTGCGCCGTGTACAGGTACACGTAGCAACGATAGATACACGCGCTCATCGGATAAGTCCTCGAGCTTGTATATGTAACGCAACCAAGTGTGGAGGATACATAATTCAAAGTCGGAGAGGAGTGGGGATCGATTAAAAATCGCAATTGAGGCCTCTGTGCGCTCGTCTGTGTCACACTTACTCTGCACGCATCGCATGCCATGCATATATAAATTCGTAGACGAACTGATGGGTATATACGTATATGAGCTTTAATTTGTAAAGTTAATCGTCTGTGCGATCGTATAATGACGCGTGAAGCCATTGACGATGCGAGTGCGCTACTGCCTTGATCTTGGCATGATCTCTGCTATGCGCTCGCGGTCACTTTGTTCTCTCTGACCATTTTTCCTGGTTTTCAACGGTCAACGTTGTTCCTCCATCAAGTTAACGAAAAACACGGATGATGACGTGGTTTTTACCTCTACCTAAGGTGAATATCGATCCGACCCCACATATATATATATGAAAATTGAGTGACCTTCAAGTTTTCTTAATAGTCTCACTTGGGTGTAACCCACTTGATAAACAGTATTTCGATTATCTCCCCTAGCTTCGGCTGACAAGTATTATATCGAATGACAATCTTAACTTAATTTCCATCAACTCCAAATCACTTGATGGCTACAACAGAATTAGCTGAGTGGCATCAATGCTTCTCGTCTCCGTGGCATCAGGGAATTTCGGGATTTGCATCCAATGTCGTGACGAGCAAAAAAAAAAAAAAAAAAAAAAAAATCGCATGCTACAAGTGTATATATACATAACTCGTCTATCGTGACAACGACCGATTTATAGATATATCTATGCCTATAAGTACATGACAATGAAAATAAGTGACGCGGCCCTCAACACCGTCTCGTCCTTTGGGTCACACTTTCCAGTTCAGCGCGCAACAGTTGAGCTTTCGGACCAGGTGGTAATACATATTTATACACGTTTGCAAGAGACGCGCGTGTGCCATCAGTGCTCGCGCCTACGCGCACACACGCAAACGCGCGTGTGATTGCACTAGGCGTGGGGAGGTCGAGTCCTTCCAGCCGAAGCGAACGAAGCGTCAGTCAGTCTGGCCGAGGACCGCCGTCTGGGTGGTCGTTATTGGTCTTGTTGTGCTTTGCGCCAAACTCACCTATAGATCGTACGCTCGCGGTGGAGCTTTATAGCTTTGGGTTTCGAGGGCCATTTTTTTTCTGGTAGGCCTATACAGTGTGGTTTTTTCCACCCCAGAGGAGACCGAAGATACAGGTGATTGGAATCTGGACTTTTATTTCTTTTTATTGTTTATTGTGTGCGTGTGGATTGTGTAAATGTTCCATCAACGTGCAAAACAATCCGTGGACCGCGACTTGTGGAAGCACAGTGGATTTTTGTCCGCGTTGCGCAACTTCCAATATCGTAACGCACCGGCGGAGCCAAACTCGATTCGTAGCGATTGTGTCATCGAACAGCTTCCCACCGATGTCTTACTCCTCGGGATCGACAAATGTGGCCGTGACGTAATTTCTACGCAACACTCGACTCGAGTCTCTTGCCTTTTTTCGATGAAAGCACGCGAAAAGCAAAATTTTTCCCCAAAAACAATGGCACGCACCTCCGAGCCACACCTACGCGTGTACGCGCGTGCAACAGAGCTTCCCCATCTCTTCCCGAAAAAAACCACGGTGGAGTGAATGATGCGATACCGCAGTATTGGCCAGCTGTCAACAAAGGTGTCTCGGTCCCTCCGTGGAGCAGCTTCCCTGGCCTATACGCGCGTCTGTCCCCCTGTAGAGAGAGAGAAGCTCGTTAGAAATTCACCGCGCGTCGGCAAACACGCGTAGACGCGGATGAGAGGAGCCATTTACCGCGTAGGTAAAGAAAAAAAAAAAACTCGGTGAAAATTGAATGAGGGCATTCTTCTTTGGTGGGCTTTCCGGTGATAAGGGAACGGGGGATGAGGGGGTCCAAAAGCTCGACAGAGGGGATCGATAGAGGACCTGCGCGCTCCAACGTTTGCCCCCTTCCTCGCGAGATTCGCGGCCGGCGCAGTTTCCGGAGCGCAAGCTTCTACCGCTTTCTCTCTCTCTCTCGCAGGGGTATTCTGATTTTTTTTTCTCTCTCTTCCCTCTCGCGTGTGGTATCGCACACGTATACGCGTGGTCTAGATTTTCTCGTGCGCTAATGTATGGGTAGCAACGGCGCTGGACTCAGTTTTACGCGTGGAGCTTGCAAGCTCTGGTGCTCGGACGGTTCTATTTTCGGGAGGTTTTTGCGACGCGCGTGTGGGTTTTGGATTGTATGGGAGCAGTGCGTTAAGTGCCCTGGAGTTTTTCTTCGAGCTTTTCTCGTCTGGTTTTACCTTTGCGGTAACACTGCGACAAAGAGAAAGAGCTTTCCGGCAAAGTTGGTGTACAAGTGGCGAGGTGCGTTGAGCGTACAGTTGTTTATGTTGTTTTTTTTTTTTTCTATTTCTAAGTCTTGTGTCCTGTGAGGATTATTATCTTTCGCATGACCCCAGGAATGCGGGGAAATTCGTGAGCACTGAGTGACTAAGGCTTTTTTAAGCCCTGAAAAGTTTTATCGCCAAGAGTACTCGAGAAATGTGGGGGGTTGCTAAAATCGTAAGTTAAATCAAAGTCTAGTTGAAAAACGTTATTAATACTTTTGTCAGGTTAATACCCAAAGGTGTGTGCAAAAAAAAACATTCTCTCTTTCTTTCGGGAAATTCCCAATTAGAGTTTCTTAATGGAATTGATCACGCATATTTATATGTGTGCCGGTAAAATCGCAAAAAAGAGAAACCACGTCATAAACAAATGAAATTTCCGTTTTTCTTACACCTGCGAAATTTAATCCTCTAAATATCGAAACAATTAAGTACCAAACTAAACTATACGATTGGAAAGTACATATAACGTGAGAACACAAATAAAGTTGTACATAAAAAGTAAAACTACCTCAGCATAAGTTAGTGTACAGTGGAAAGGATGAAAAAAAAGCAACTAAATAGATGATGTATTACTGCAGTCGTCGGTGACTGAATTATTAACTTTGAATTTGTTAACAAGTGTAGAAACACGCAGTACACGGGAACGAAGCACGCGACTCTCTCTCTCTCGCACGCGCGCGTGCTCTATTAATTTTTGATTTCACGCGTCGCTTGTTCTTGGCTCACAAACACACCGTTAACTTTTATTTTCAATTAAAAATATATCCACCATCAAACTTAACTACACGGTAATTTTTGTTAATTGATAAGTCGAATTTTTTTATGGTACTACTATCCAAATTCGTACCTTGTATCGATCGCAAAATGAGAGTGACTACAACTATTAAATCGTAAACTTCTTAAAATCGATTTCAATAGTGTGGTCATGTATGGAAATGAATTCCTAAATTTTTTTACGAAATTATCAAAAGCATCCTTAAAATTTTGTAACCTTTTTAATTTCCATGCAAAAGCTTTGTAAGTATTTTTTACGTAACGTCTTGGAAATAAGACGTAAGAATTAATTTTCCGGTGTACATGAAAAATTAATGGATTGTAGTGTAAGCTTCGTAATATCAATAATATTTCAATAACGTATGGAAATAAGTATAACCCAATGATTTAAATTATTCATAAGGTAGCTTGTTACAAATCTCATTAAAATAATTTGTTTATCCAAAGGCCGAAGAAATTAACAAAATTTTGTCTTAAATTTAAAAAGGTGATTGAAATTCGGACTTAAATTGCATTGTAACTTTAACCTTGTAAAAAATTCCGTAAAATTCAGTCAATATTACGTCATTTAACCACATATAACGAATGTTACAAGTGATCATGACGGCACATCTATAGACGGGCGAGAGAACGATGACAACAGAAGTATAATAGTACACAACTTATCACGCAGTTGCGGTAATTTCTCGATAAGACAACATGTATACGTATGGGTATGCCTGTGTAATCTCCATTTTTAGACACGAATCGCGAACACCTCGCGAGTTCCCGCACGTACGACATGTGTTTGAGTGTATTATACAATGTATACATATCGGCTTTTTTATTTGTACGTACAGACGTCGATACATCAAAAATGACAAGTCTATTCTCGAAGATACTATATATAGATATGATGTAAAATTTTGGTACATGAGATAATTCGACCATTAAATCTATATTGTAATTGAAAAGTGCTTAGCGTGTTACTGCATCTTGGATGTATTTTTTTCATCACGATTTGTGCACGAAAAAAAAAAAAAATGCCATAGCAAAAAATTTGTGTACACCCGCGTGTACGTGTCTTCCACGCAAGGAAACAAAATACAATAGGAGACAGCTTCACCTATTACCTGCACCGAGTTCTCTTTAACCGGTACGATTTTCCGCTTCTTCTCCCGGCTCTTATGGCTGTACGCTTACGTGGGTACCCTTGTCTGAGTTTTTTTCTCTTTCTCTCGTTTGAAAGCCCATACGCAGGTGTGTAACAGTGTACGTGAGAACCAAGGGGCTTTGAGGACTTTTCTTTTGTGAGTGTATGAGTAGGTATATATAATATATTGCACGCAGTGCAGAGATCGTTGAATATATGCATTGGGACGCGACGAGGTGCGCGCGATAAACGAAGCGTGCGTGGAAAAGCTGGATATCGTGCGTATACGGTACTTTTTAATTTTTTTTTTTTTTTTTTTCGCACCGGTGTGGGATTGCCCCCTCTTGTTTGTGCACACACAGTGCGCACTCATTTAAATATTTGCACGTGCAGTGTATCTTGTGCACGGCTTTTTTTATAATTGAGGTTTGTTTTGGTCTTTCCATTTCACCCGCAATTAAGCCAATTAGGCGTTTCTTTTTTTTTTTTTTTTCACGGGTTGGATTCACGTGCATGGTTTGCAAAGCATGGGCTTTTCACGAGTCTCGCCAGTGATTCACATTTGGCGAGATAAACGGAAGAATACGGTGATTACATTAAAATTGCCCACAAAAAAATTATACTTAATGGGTGCGATGATTTTGTTTTATCATGGAAGCGAAGATAGTTAAAACTCGGGGAGAGCGATGTACGCGCACTCTTTGATGGAATTATCATTTAGATTAGATAGAGACAATGTACACCGCGTTGATCTTTTGATGCCATCGGAATTCGTGGGTTATCCAATAAAGTATATACTTAGCTTGGCGTGGTAAGTTTTTTTTCTTCCATCGGATGTGTTTGCCGAAATTTCGCAATGTGGTGTAAAAAAAAAAAAAAAAAAGATAGCACATCCTTCGCACTTGAGGTGCTAAGCTTACAGGTTGCTTTGAGTGAGCATGTGTTTTGCGGATAAAATTTTACATCGACTGCAGGTTTATAGTTTTGGAATATTCATGCGTTCAGTGGTTGCGTATATTATGTACGTTGACGCGCGTGTAGCGGATGCTCGAATGGGACGCGTAATTGTTTTTGAGGTCGGAAATATTGTGAAATAGTATCTTTATTGGCGCCGAAGCGTATATAATATATTTCTTGCACTATTAAAATTTTTCTGAATTAAACACAAGTGCACGCGTACATGGAGAAACCTAAAGTTAAAATATATTGTTACTACGAACTTGATTAAATTTTTTTATTTTATTGAAGATTCACAATGTAATCAATCGCTTTTTAATTGGACTTTCAGTTTAAATTGTTTTTTTGATTGTCAATTAAAATGCGAACAAGCTGAGAATTAACTTTTAATTGTTTCGCTAAGAAATTTTAATATCGCTGAACCTTAACTGGCACAACTGTCAAAAGACTTTAAAATAATTATAATTTAATCAAATTGTGGTGAAAGTAAAAAAAAAAAAAAAAAAAAAAAAAAAAAAAAAATGGAGCAGTAAAGGGATCTGATATTCTCGGTAATATTCAGCGAAATTCCGTATCGGCAACTAAAAAATAAAATCGTAACGAAAGAAACATCCATTGCAGTAAATCAAAAGAGAGTATACCGACTGAATGATGGCATCGGAAAACAACGTAGCGAAAAAAGACGAGCCGCCCAGCAACAACGAGGAGAAGCCAACCCCGGCCGAGGCGGCGAACAACCTGGCCAACGATGTGGCCAGTTTAAAAGTGGCCGAGGCCGAGCAGCAGCGCCCGGGCAGCACGAGCCCTTCGACCCCGGCTGGCTCCTTCCTCGCGGGTTTCAAGGCTTTCTCCAAGTTCGGGGACACCAAGAGCGACGGGAAGCACATCACCCTCAGCCAGAGCGACAAGTGGATGAAGCAGGCCAAGGTCATCGATGGCAAGAAAATCACCACGACCGACACCGGCATCTACTTCAAGAAGCAAAAGTGAGTACGTTTTTAAAATGCTTGTCTTAAATGCTTGTCTGATGGAGGAAAAGGGTCGTCGGCTCGAGCGAAGGAAATCCGTACTCCGAGAAACTCGGTGAACGACATACACACGTATGGCTTCGGTGTGCTTGCACGGCTCGAATGTGTGTCAAATATGTATACACCTGGTATTGAATGCCTTTTTTTTTTCTCCACCGATGACAGGTCGATGAAGCTCAACATCGAACAGTACAAAGCCTTCCTGGACGAGCTGGCCAAGAGCAAGAAAGTCGACCTGGTGGCGATGAAGAACAAAATGGCCAACTGCGGCCCGCCCGGGATAACCAATACTGCTGTGGTATGGACTTTACGTCACCTCTGTTCTCGGCTTATCCATCATGATCATCCAAAAAAATTTTCTCTTTGTCCGTTAAAACTAAACTATACAACGCGATTTGACACACGCCAATTCCACGCCTCGAGGGACGATTAATTTCTTTTTTTTATCAATTATACACTTTGCTATTGTTGGCCGTCGAATGACGTCATCGGAAGCTTTATATATTTACCGGGGGGTTTGATTTTGCTCAATTGATCGCGGAGTAAAAGTTACATCAACCGTTTTTACCATGAAACTGAACTAACCACGGAGTCTTTTTATCATGTAACATAGGGAAAATGCATGTGTCACTGACAATGCCGTTTGTAAACTCCGTGGTTGCCGGGTTATGGTACGGGATGGTGATATTATTGCATTTTGATCAATCATCTTGCAACTCCTATTTCTTTCATCGTGATAAAAATTACCCCCAAGTATAGATTATGTACGTGCCTACCTCCATGGTACAAATATATCACCAATACAATCTTAATTCTTCCGATTGATAAGTTTATCCTACGGATAACAGTCTAAGGTTTATCAACTCTGGCTAAAAAACCTTGTCCGCATCGTATCTGAGTGGCGCGTACCCGTATCTAATCTTCGTTGAAACCAACGCATGGATGACGCTTTGAAAGAAATTTTCTCATGTTTAAAAAAAAAAATATATATATATATACATAGATACATGTATATGGAGTGAAACCTTGAAATGTGCCAACAGGGTGGCAAGGCAGCGTCGACGGTGGACAGGCTGACTGACGTGACAAAGTACACGGGCTCGCACAAACAGCGCTTCGACGAGTCGGGCAAGGGTCGGGGCATAGCTGGCCGCAAGGACTTGACCGACAAGTCGGGCTATGTGCAGGGCTACCAGAACAAGGACACCTACAAGGGCCAGTAGAGGACAAAGGAGAAAGAGAAAAAAAAAGATATCCACACCTTGGACGTCTCCGGTGTTTCTAGTGGGATGTTGTATACAATGGAGGATACACACGTCCGGGGAAGAGATATACGAAATTTTTATGGAAGTTACAGGAGGGGTGACGTTAAAAAAGGAGAGAAATCCACATTTTCCACGTCGCTTTCGCATGCACACGCTCGCGAGTTTAAACGTTTAGGAGTGCGACTGTTGATTTGGGTGGTGTACGTGATGATTATGCGTCTATCCGTGCAGTTTGCATGATTTCCGAAAATGGGGTGGTTGATTCATTCACCCTCTCGCGATTAGAGCGTCAGGGTGGCGGTTTTCGGGTTTGGATGGAACTTTGAGGAGTGCCGGAACTTTTATGTATAGCCACGTGCCTCTGGACTCTGAGTTTTTTTTTATATCCAAGCAAATGAACAGTTTAAAAATAACACTTGGACGAGCATGATGATCTTTGTTCGTCCAATATTTGGTGAATATTCCATCAATGTCATTAGGCATTAGACGTCCTTAAGGTGCAAAAATGGCACTTACTTCCATGGTCACGCCAGCGAGAAGGAGTTAATGTATTAGCAGTGCATGTAACTATTTCATTGCGACTTTTTGCAGCTTAAAAATACCTAGGTCCTAATGAGGTCGATTTAGTATACCAACGAAATATTGAACCAATAAAAATTACCATTTTTTTAGCTGTAGATTTACATCTAGTTCATTATAAATCTGGAGCTGTTTGGCAATATTGATATCTAAGTTTTTTACTTCCTAAACAATGCTGGACTACCACAAAAGTATGTATAAGAAAAAACATCGATTGAACTTTTAAGACTTGTGTCTTGATCGCATTCAGTTGTGGTGTTCCAACCTTGCGAAAACTGAAGTTGAACCCTCAAGACTTTGTCAAATCCCTGTATCTTTTAAACAAGAGCTCTTAATAATGAAACATATCTGTACTTCGAGGTTGTTACTTTGGTTTTGATTTGCACTAGAATTTCCTGTAACTGTTGCTTACGTTTGAGACACCAGTACGAGTGTAAAAGTACAATCGACATTTCTCGTTATACAACTGTGGCTCTAAAATAGCCGAACATCGTGACTTTTTCTATTTATTGGTACAAAAAAGCATAAATCCCAAAGTTTTATATAAATCCGTAACCCACAGCCCTGACATCATTCTAATTATCAACGGGGATCATTAGCACAAACAGCAATTTTAACCACGTCGTTATTCTTAATATAATATATATGAGTGATACGAGTTAGCCACAATAGGATTAAATCCCAGGAGACTTTGGTGACTCTCTGCAGGCGTGTATTGTGTGATTGCCTCTTTCGTTAAAATTTTCACATATAGTTTATTTGCAATTTTTGTATGAATTTTTTTTCGTTTTTTTCGTTTTTTTTTTTTTTTTTTTTTATTAAAATGGCATGGAGAAGAAGACAATTATCGTTTAAATGCACAGATGTTAATTTTTACATGTGCGTAGGGTATGTGAAGATGTGCTTCACATTCATATGCATAATATATAAATGGCATTGGTTGTATGCTGCATTTTAAAATAATTTTATATTATTTTACAATTTGTAGTGTTAATACTTTGATGTTAGTTGTACTTTAGAATTTAGCGGTTGCCAAAGATATTTTATCCCCGAGTCAAACAAGATTTATTTATTATGTTAATGTCACAAGTATGAAGTCAACTGTTAATAGTTTTCAGTTTTTTTTGTTTATTCATTAGTTAATTTTTTTTTGTAATAATAATTTTAATCATAGTCTGATTTTAATACTTAAAAATTCAAGTTAATACAAAAAAAGATTTAGGTCATCTTACTGTTTATACAACTCTTTTGTCATTTTTTATACACATATGCATTTTTAACGATCGAAATAAGAAATTTTTATGTTTTAATTAATTATTGGAAATTTTATTGCGACGCAGAGTATTATTTTTTTTTTTACAAAATAATACATTGATGAATAAATTAGAAAAACATTTTTAAAAAACTACTCTGTTCTTTCTAAAGGGTATAATTTTTTTGACAATCCTTAAATTCCAAGGTATAAACATTTAATTTTTTTTTTTAATCGTGTAAGATATATGAAAATGTGCTGTTAAACGACGTAATATTCTAACAAATAATTAATAAAATGGATTAAAACATTATTTCATCAATTGTTAAATTTTGATTATCTGTATATTATAATGAAAAAGTGTATCGCGAAGTTTACGAAAAATTGATTTTGTACGTTGAAAAAAAAAAACATTGTTAACAGTACTCATTTTCAATCAGTCAGTGTGAAACCAAAAAATAGCTCTTCGATTTCGTCTTCTTGCATCTCGGTCTAAACGTGATTTTTTAACTGCGTAGCTTGACTTCGTATCGTATTTTTACCTACTTTTACAATTTACCATGTACTTTTTAAAACGAAAATACACTCGTACAGAAATAATACATTCATTCCACTGGAGATAATGTATAATCTAAATTACAAATAAAAATATATTATTAAGTGTACTTATCTATTATTTGGTGGAGGGTAACAACAACAAAAAAAAATTATTTTTAAAATTCGAAAAATTGTCATTTATTCGATTCACCGGTAATACTACCGGTACAACGTGTATTATAATAATCATAACATTTTTTATGTTCGGCAAGACGATGCACAAGTAGGCATAATCTAATACAGACTTTAATTATTCCATCAGGATGGGCTTGTCCATTGCAAAATTTACACATTTTCTTTGAAGACAATTTTCAGCTGCAAGTGTAATTCTAATACAGAATGCCCAACTAATGTGTCAATAAAATATCGATATGAGTAAGTATACGTATGCGATAAAATTTTAATAAATATATTTTTCAAAAAATCAACAAGACTAAGTAAAATTCTACCGTGGATTGGATACACTCCAAACAGACCAATCCAAATTCAAATACTTGTTTGGAAAAAAATTTTTTTTTCTCGATTCAATCCACCTCGCAGCAAAAATTATAAAATTTTACGCTTATGCAAGCCGGTGCATGTAAAAAAAAGCGCCACAAGATTAAATAGTGTTCACATGGCGACGTATATAAAGCGTTTAACTAATTATACAATTAAAATGAAATACTGCGCGAAGAAAGGAATAATAATACTAATGTTTAAATAATTTTGATATAGTCTCGTGTGACAACGCGATAAAGAGCCATTCTGCTCGTGTTCGACGGGTACGTGTATATTATAATACAAAAAAAATACGTTCGTGATGTTACAAGATGTTATATTAAACTCTCTTTTTATTTTTTATTGTCCAGTGCCGTTTTACAAACTAAGAAACATATTTTCCTACCGCAAAGCGTTTTTCGTGACATTTGGACGTTTACTGCAGGCTTGGTAAGAAAAATAGTGTTTACCACATAAGCGCCATCTTGTAAGGGCTATCTTTCCGTCCCTCGGGTCCAAAAATAGTCTCGGTGGCGATGGCGCTTCTGTGACGAAAACTACCGTTATTACACGTATTTCGTAGCGGAAAGAGTATTATTAAAGCACTCGTTTGGAAATAGATTCGGCAAACTGAGGCTTTTGAGGTTTGCTTCTTGTCTAAATAGAGTATGATAATATGATTGAAAAACTTGATGAAGAACACGTAATACGACTCCCCATAAGTAAAAGTTAGGTTAGGTATCAAGTATGAGTTTTTCTTAAAACTAAAAAACATCAACGTCGAGCGAAATAACTTGAGATTAGCATTTGAATTCCACATCTTACCTAAAATGAAATTCACATCCTCTGAGGAGGGTCGATTGTTTAAATTCTATCATTGTCGAAATTGTCAAGTACATACAAATATAAGTACCTTTAAATCTATAAAATATCTTTGATGTCTTTCAGCTCTTTACAAGCAAATAAAGGTATGCAGATCAATAATAATAATAATAATAATTACTACGATTAATTGAAAAAANATATTTCTATATTTTATAACCTTAAAGAAAATATAACTATTAGTCTACTTTTCTCACGTAAACTATCATTATTTCAGAAAATTGTCATAGTGCTTAAGCAATTCAAACAGTTTTTTTTACAATCCAAGTAAGTAAGTCACGTGATCTATCTTAACTTGTGTCACCGCAAATTATAGGGCTTAAGTCACATGACAATCAATCTTATAGGATATTCAGTGAGTACAAATGAGAATAGAATATTAAAAATCTCAAACTTCCGAAGCCTGTTTCTTTTTTTTCTTTTTATTAATAATAAGATACAAGGATCTTGAACAATAAAAACAATAATGAGAAATTTAGAGCTCGGTAAGGGTATCGAAGGACGCGCGTATCCTACTCCTCGTGCCGCAGCTACCGCTTGTGCCAACCGTAGCTGGCGTCGATTTGCTGCTGCCAATACCCGTGCCCTCGATCTTTGATATGATTTCGTCGCGCAGCGACACCAAGACTCTACGGTCCTGCCGGTTTTGCGGCGGCGCCAGCCGCAAGCCCTCTTCAATGTCGTCCAGTGCCTCGTCCAACCGATCCGCGTCCAATTTGGCCTTAGATCGCGCGTAATATGCCTCGTACGACAATGGACGAATCCTAAGGGCCTCGTCCGCCAACTCGATCGCCTCTTCACACTCCTAGAATTAAAAAAAATTTTTTAAATATTTTACCGGTGTTTCATTCTTCTCCTACCGGCGAAAACATAACCTATAAATACCCACCTGCATCTTACGCTTGCACCTGCTGAGATTCAGCAAGAAATTTATCCTGAGCTGAACAAACGCCTGCGCGTGCATCAGGGCGTGATTGTGGTCCTCGTGCTCGGGGGCTTGGCTCATCTGGTCCGGCGACGCAGGAAATTTACGCAACGCGTACGCGTAACGATGCGACGCCTCCTTCAGTCTGCTTTTTCTAAAGAGCACGTTACCGTCCTCCAACAGCTTGTTCATGAGTATCAAGAGAATGTCGGGCTTGCCCGCGGCCATGGCCCAAGTGGCCGGGCCCAGTTTGGCACCGCGGCGCAAGAAACACTGCACCACGGGGATGTTTCGACAGCCGATGGCTCGGTCGAGTGGCCGCATGCCGTGAAGGTCAACGTGTTCGATAGCCGCACCCCGCTCGAGCAGTAGTTGGACGAGTTTTGGATTGCCCTGTAAGTATACATTATAATGTTATCTTGCACTTGATGCGTTAATGAAAGAAAAGACCACGATCATTTTACCTGAAACGCGGCCAAATCAAGAGGCGTCCTTCCAGTCTTGTCGCACGTGTTGACGTCGGCGCCTCGATCGATGAGGCATTGGGCAGCAGATAACCTACCGCGCACGCAGGCCCAAGCCAGAGCGGTGAGGCCCTCCTTATCCGTACCCTCGAGCATGGCTCCCTTGTCCAACAGCAGAACTATGAGATTCGTGTGGCCCTCCGAAGCTGCTAACGAGAGGGCCGATCTACCGACCGGGTCCTTTTGTTTGAGTAATAATGTCGTTACTTCGACATCTTCGTCCGTACTCATCGATAACGAACCTGCGTTTGAATGACGTTGATTCAACCGGTTAATGGACCCATATGTATTTGTGATTTGTCAACTATTTCCAAACATTTACCTTGAAGCAGTCTTTCGGAAGTACTGTAGTGGCCCTCCCTGGCCGCGAGCATGAGAGCCGAGAAGCCCTTGGCGTTCAGGACTGTTCTGTCGGCTCCACGAGCCAAGAGAGCCGAGACCGTGGCTGTCGATCCGTTAGCCGCAGCGATCGTCAGGGCAGTCTCTCCGATCAAAGTGTCGGGTCTGTCTACAACGACCTCGGACATGTCCAGTAGATACTCGACGATGGACTCGTGGCCCTTGGCCGATGCGGCAACGACCGCCTGCTGAGCTGCTTCTTCCCGGCTGACTTCGGGGGTTGAGGATGACGATGCCAAGGAAGTCGACGTCGAGGTGGAACCGGAAGCTGTGGCTCCTTCCTCGTGGTTTGGTGAAACGACCCAGTCGCAGGCCAACAGGTAACCGACCACGGGTAGTCGACCATGACGCGCCGCATGGACGAGTGCACACTGTCCTGCCATGTCAGTGTGGCCTAGCGATGCACCGGCTGCGGCTAACCTATAATTGTGATTACAATAAAACGTTTGTGATTTAAAATTTTTGAAATTTTTACCGTGCCTTATGTAAAGTAATCAATAAATAGGGTATTCGCTTGCAAGTTAAGTTGACACAATTTCGATCAACTTTTGTACTTCAGAGTCTCGTATACGAGAGTTGCGAATGGTTCTTTGTAAAGTCCAAAAACAATTATTTTAATCTCGTTTGTGACAGACTTTTAAGAAATTATTGCACCAGGCAATGTCTTGAAAAAAAGTCTACCTGAATTTTGCGAGCAATTTCACACAATATTTCTGTAAGAATCAGTTGCACGTATATGCCACAAAAATTAGGAAGCAGAACCCCGTCTCTGAAGTCTGCATGGACTATTCTACGTGGAGCCTACATGGAATTAGTTCATATAATATGGCCTACATGGTCGTTGGAAACTAGGATAACCAATTCCACGAGTATTCCACATTAAATGTCCATTTGGAATTCCACTTGTAATGACTGGTGGCATTTCAAATCCAAAACCCCATGTCATTCCAAGTCGAATTACAAAAATGGAATTGAAAATACTCATTCAAGTGTACTGACGTGTAAAACTACAAGTGTTATTACATATTATTTGCCAGAAGGTATTATACTTTATACGCACCTTCTTACGACATCACAGTGTCCACGAGCAGCCGCCAAAATCAAAGCAGTGCAACCTTGGCTGTTGGTAAGTTCCACATCGGCTCCAAACTCCAGTAGCAGAGAAACCATCTCGACAGATCCTTCATGAGCGTACATGCATAGCGCGGGTGCATTGCCCAGATATTCTGTGATGAAGTTGGGTGACGCACCAGATAGTAGCAGCAATCGCGAAACCTTGACGTTTGGACTGTAGACGTTGCGCAACGTACACAGAGCTGACGAAACACATCCGGATGATGATGCTAGCCATGCAGCCTGTTTCAGCAAGTAATTATGACCGTCATTTGTGGTTTATTGCAAAAGTAACATATCGCAATGATTGGGAGGGGGAAAAACAAACCTGAAGATCACGAGGGGGCCAGACTGGCGTGGCACCTCGGTAAACGTGAGCTTTTAAGATGTGGTGTCCGAGCTCGAGTGACTTTTCCCCATCCAAAGGTGCTTGAAGTCTGGACAAACGGAAGGCTATTGCAGCGTGGCCCAGACGAAAATCGCAGAGGAACTTTGTCGACTCGCCCTCATCCCTTATCATCAACCATTCCCTGAACGATGGATGGAAGAACATGTAGGTATTGTCAAGTCGTTTCACAAGGAATCCAGAGAGCATCTGTAGAAATCAAGGATTTTCGTGTGAACATCATGTTAAACGACACTGTACAATTCAATCACTGCTTTTCAGAATAGAAGCATTAATCCAGATCAACTACTTACTACACCAATCCTTTTAATCATATGGATGGCAAAAAAAAAAATTTGTCATTTCGTCAGTATAATTTACCCACTAGTTCGAACTGGGATAATCGACAATGAAAAGGCTGCGTCGCAGTTTGCAAATTACCTTAAATCTCTGCATGAAGTCTTCCCAGGTGATCACGAAGTTATTGTTCAGTGAATTGACGGAGTAAAATATTTCCGGCAGAGTTAGTGGATTCAGAGCAGCCAGACATACCCCCAGCAGAGGCTGGACCTTGTCGAATGACGTTGCAGTTGGAAATCGAAGATTAAAGTGCAACAAATAAATCTGAGCCAACGAAACTGGCAGGACCTATACGAAACACACCACAATGCGTCCTCAAGAAACGTATGCCAAACCATCGCATCCATACGGGTTTCAAATGTGACGACTTTCTCACCTTGTAACTGGTAGACTTTGCAACGAGGTGACCGCTCTCGAGAAGATCCAAGGTGAGCTTGGCAAACAAAAAACTCCCGTTGGCCAAACTGAGCAGGTGGCTGGCGAACCTGGTCTGCGAAGTCGCACACGAGGACTCGGTCTTGCCGTTGAGAGTGGCCGGCGTCACGTTGGCCAGTATCGCTGGACTCTGGGCTAGTCTGAACCCAACGTAGTCGGCCACGTCCTTACTGACCTTTGTGCCAGACGCATCGTTCGCACACCGGTCCAGGCAGATCCTCGTGTAGGGCAGGTGCTTCGTGCACTCGGCCAGCTGGCTACGCACCGTCACCACGAGTTTCAACCAGCTCGGGAAGTTGGGGGCATGCCTCGTTAGGAAGGAAGCTATCGTGTCGCCCCTATCGGGTCTATGGTACTCTGCTTCGCACACTGCGTCGATCAGGATTAGCTGATGATAGAAACATAAGTATAACGCTCTCTTTTGTTTCGATGGTGGATTTTATAAAATCGTTACGAGTGTGGTGTACCATATTTGTATCGGGCAGTTTTCCAGCTTTCTTTAGGCTAACGAGTGGTTCGATGATACCACGAATAAGAGCGAGATCTGGATCGACGGTGCACTCCTTTTGCGACAGGGAGCCCTGCAGGTGAGGCTCGGAGAGGAGATACTCCTGGTAGGCGGCGAGCTGGGGTGCCTGGCAGAGCTGCGCGGCTAGGGAATGGATGAGATCGGGCACGAGGCAGGTGCAATTGTTGTCCGCCTGACAGAAGTGGTAGGCCACGACTTGCGATGCCAATTCACGTATCTGTTGATTGTTTCGATACCCGTTTTAAGTACACTTGTTATATGTGAGTTTGACTTGATATACTTCATAAACTGACACATACTTTCTCGTTGGTCTTCTCGATGTTCATTTTCGCGGTCATGGCAGCATCGTACTCCTCGATGATGTCAGGCTCTTGCAATTCGGTCCTAGCTGGAGCTTGGCTGCGTTTACGGCCGAAACAACTGTAATCGACGAGTTGGAGCACAAGGGCAGTTTTACCGGTACCCGGTGAACCCGAAATGCATCCACCTGGTTTTTTTTCCAAATTAACGACATTGTTATTATAAAATAATATTATTGGTGTGAAAAATATTGATTTTTGTAGTATTGATGTACCTGGACTTGAACCATCAACGAGATTTTGTAACTCTTGTAGGAGCCAGTGACGCCCGATGAAGAGAGGGTCACTTTCGAGAAGTGGTACTTCGAAAAACAGGGGCTTCAATGTTAGGTGTGCGTGTTGTTGTAGGAAACGGACTAAAAGAGAGAGTAATTTTTAGTACAAAAAAAATACATACCTTCTTACCTAGTATGAAAAACAAAACTTAAGTGTTAAATATCTACATAAATCGTGTTTCGATAAAAAACAAGAATTGGGTCATATATACATTAAACTAGTGTACAGTTCTTCCAAAATCCCTTTTTTAACAATGACTCCTGTAACTAAACAAAATATGCATAGTCCCCATGTAAGTTGTGCCACTTGTAGCATGTGAACGTGATTGGTCTATAATATTAAAGTTGGATGTTTCGATGTACCTATACAAGTGTATTTATGGCCAATAAAATTTTTTTGTTTATAGAGATCCGACTTAATAACCCGTAAAATAAAAGGTGCACGTATAGTCGATGGGAATAATACATCGCTTCTTACGTAAAAACAAAATAATAATAATAATAATATATATCTCGACCCTGGCGCGGCATACGATAGTCGGGATGAAATATGATTTTTTTCGAACTTCGACGTCATCTTGCTCCTTGCCGATCGCGATCTTATAATATTCCCAGGGAGGAGAGAGAGGAAGGGAACTTTCACGTGTGTAGCGGCGAGCGCGAAATTCAAGAAGATAATTTATCGGGCGCAGCTCTTAAATTACAATTACGATCGCCGTAAATTGAGACGGGCCGAAAACAATTAGGAACGAGTTTCTGCGAAAAAAGAGAGGGTTATATCAGTTGTGCTCGAATCGATCGGCGCTTGTGACTTTTTTTCACGTACCTGTATACGTCCCCTTTGCTCGAAAATTTTTTCCACTTGCACGCTCGATTGTTGCGTCGATGCGTAACTCGCGATGATTTTATCTCTCGCTTCGTAACTTTATTACATTATGGGTGTATGTTAATTCTGTTTTTTTTTTCCCATCGAGCTTTGGTTTTAATTTGAATTTTTTAGCATTGCCTCGAGAAGTTCATTATCCGATTGTACGTGAGGGAATGAATTACACATCGGTAGCGACCCATATACCGCATAATATTTGGAAAATAACTCAGAGTTGATACAATTCGTTGGAGGACAAATTTTCATATGATAAAAACGTACGTGCAAGACTTACTCTTTGGGTCTGGACCGGAGCCTTTGGCGTTGGCAGCGCGCGCCGATCGCCTGACGCAGACGCGCCGATTTCTGAAGGCGTTCTCGTCGATCTGGCCGGGTTGCGAGGTCGTGACGGAATGTCTCCTCGAAGCCAGAGGACTGGAGCTTCCGTTCGACAAGCCGGAGACAGACATTGACATGGACATCGACGTAGAGGCGGATGTCGAGATGGACGCCAGGCTACCGGCGTCGCGCGTCTTTTTGCCCTTGGACTTTCCTATCGGCACCGATTTTTCAATTTTTTAGGGGTTGGTCTAAATTATTTGTCGTTTATGCAAGATATTGTTTGGAATACAAATATTGATCGAGCCCAATCTAAGGTGGACTCGACCAATAATTTACGATAGTCCAAAATGCAAAGGAAGCACGTTAAAACCGGACTGAGGGTCGATCGATTGTATGGTGAAAAATCACCTTTGGACTTGAGCGGACTGCGCAGGGCAGCTGCAGCAACTTCGGCCTCGCTGGAGGTTCCGGTGAGGGTGGACACGGGACTCGTGTTAGTCGAAGCGTGAGTGCGCGCTTCGAGACTCGCGAGACTGCTACCGATCGACGCATCGGGGGGTAAGGCCGCCTCATCGTCTGTAAATGAAAAAATTTAAAGATTCGTTATTTTTTTTTTTTTTTTCTAAGGATATTTCGGTGATTAATGGACGAATATTTGACGTCAAACGGAAGGAATTGTGGCAGCTTACTCTATTAGATAATTCAATAGATTACTAGTTATGAAGAGATTCAAAATTTAAATTTATTGCGAAAAAATCTTCATTTTTAAAGGTAAACATCGATAACTTAGAAAAATAAAAAGTTAAAAATAGCTATCTCAATTTCATGTAGCAGAAGTGGCTATCTAAGGTAGTGAAGTTACTGTCTTTATTAGTTATGGGATATTATTATGAAGACAGACAGCTATTTTGTGTCATAAGATTGCCTTTAGAGTAAGAAATATTCTTAATATGGTCGACATATTTACGAGGATGATTCTTTTTCTTTAAGAAATTTAAAAAGCTGCTATTTTTACTGAAAATTAAGATAGCTTTTTCTTAACTCCACATTTAATAATGTTAACGAAAAAATAATAATTTTAATATTTTTGAGGTAACTGTAACACAATAAAATTGGTTAGAAAAAACTAAAGTATGGAAAAAGGTACTGAAATTCAATCAATTAATTTTTAAAATAAACATGCAAACAAACGAAGTATTTATGAGGAAATACGTATAATTTAAATTTTAATAAATACCCTTATTATCTTAATGTTATAATACTTCTTATAATTAATGTTATAATACTTTAGTTACATTATTTATAAGATCATATATGCACGTTCTTTTATTTTATAGTTGCTTTCAAACTTATAATCACTACTTCTTCGTATCCCCTAAGAATTCCAGTACCTTTTAAAAAATTTATTCTAGGTACATGTAAGGTTTTAACACAAAAAAAAAAATTACTTATACAAAAATAAACGTCAAATATTAAAAAATGACTTAATTAAAATCAGAAACCTTTTTTTGATGGGGCAACAATTAAAAAAATTTTTTTTTTAATTAAATTAAATTTCTCTATATGTGCAACATGTCCCAATTCACAAAAAAATTTAAAAAAAAATAGAATTATGGAATTTTTAGTGAATTAAAAAATTACTTTTAATTTTTGTGTTTTTTATCTGTGTTAAGTTACAAAAAAAATTCGATTAAATTATTTATAATAAAATGATTCCTAAATATAGCTATGAGGAATAACTTTTGAGATCTGGGACTGATATCTTTCTTTGTACAATATCCTTTTAGATGAATAGTTACATTTTAGTCTACCTGCGCCTTAATATATGTACTTGTTATTGTATTATTTATATTATATAAACATGAAATTTACAAATAAATGCCCTCATTATTATTCAAAGTGAAATGCAAAAACGTATCACTCTCAATTCAACAATAAATTCTGAAAAATAATATGAATTAGTAAAAAATTCACAAACTGCAAGCTTTCTCGAAGAAGTTTTATTACTTATTTGAGAGATCCATTCTCTACGAATAAATCCGGGCAAACGCTGGTGAACCAAGCCGCTCAGCACTAAAAACGCATTCAAAACTTTAGCTTAAGTTTAGCAAAACTGAAATTAAAAAAAAATTATCATAAAACGCGATACACAAACCAACACAAATTTTAAAACACACCAAAGTAAAAAGAAAAAAAATAAAATAAAATAAAACAAAGAAAATTACAACTACCAAGCAATGCTTTTAATTATTATCATATAAATTTTAATCATACACTATGGGTACAAACGCTGCTCAAAACAAAATTGTCACAGCATACAAGGAGCAAAACAACCCATCACAAACAGAAAAAAAAAAACACACGCGAGGTATTAAAAAAACCTGTGTTCCTGCCTGGTAGTTTATTCGACGCGTCGATAAGCTGATTCAAACCATCGCTCGCTGATCCCTGGCTGCTGTTCCACAGAGATCGGATTTTGCCGAGTACGAGTCCCGGCCACTTTCCTTCCCAATTGGTCGTGGTCATCCAGGCTATTTTCAAATTTGTTTCATATTTACATTCACCGTAACTTTCGCACAAGATTCACGCTTCCTATGATACCGGATTCGTTTAATATCTTTCAGTTTATGGCACAAAATGTCTGGTCGTTACACCGTTTGGGCATCTAAGCTTGCATTGATTATCTTATCTCTAATCGGTTCGAATAATGATTTGGATGAGGCAAAGCGCTTAAAAATCCTTACTCACCTTGAATAAGTAGCAAACACTTTTATTTACCGTTGAAAAAAAATTTCAAAGATCGTCATAAAGTGTGAGATTTACTTTAATGCGCCCCACTTAACTCGGCAAAATATATGTACACAAGAAAATCCCGCAACCAGTAAAAGCGTAATAGGTATACATTTGTTAAATAAAAATAAAAAACACTTGCCAGAAAGTGCAGAGGGATTATCCGTCGAAGCGTGATCTTGCGGTGGCGTCGGCTGCGTTGGCGTTGTCTGGACCTCGTCTCGCTTGGACTGTCGAACGGATGCGAAAGGACTTCTCAGCGCTTTCGCGTTCAGGAAGAATTTTTTGCGCTGAGTTGGCGGCGTTGGACAACCTAAAAAAGTTTTTACTCTGTTACATTACACTAGACATGCAAGAAGAAAGTTGATGTGGCAATTTTTACCATGAAGTAAAGGTAAAAATAGGCCAGAAGGAAATTTTTCCCTTAGTTTAATAAGTTACATGGTAAAATCTCAATGTGTCATGTGAAAATTTGATTGGGACAAATTTCAGATAAGATGTTGCAAAAACTTACTTTGAACCATGTCTTGAACCTTATGGCGTGATTCGGGGAGAATTGGAGGCTTTCCTTTCAAACACTTTCCATCGTCATTTAGTTTCTGAAAAAAAAAATTTTTTCAACCGTTTACAAAAATTTGGCTTACTGTTGAATTTGACCAGTAGTGTTAAGCAAATTTTTATTTAATTTTTCACACTTTCCAGTATTGATTCAAAGCAAAACGAAAGGATGAGGCATAAAATTGCCAAGTTTCACGGCGGAAGGCAAGAAAAAAAATAACAACTGGTGGGATTTGAACTTGAGAACCCACTTTTAGAGAGCTTTAAATATTCACCGCAATGTGGAATATGTGCAAGGACAGGGGGGATAGGTGGCGCTGATATCGGAGAACCTACTCTCACAGCTTTCGAAATTCGCCGCTTCGCGTAAATTAACATTGGTATTTATATAGAGATCGAAGAGGTCGTCTATAAGAGAGAAAAAGGTGTTTCGTCCCGAGAGCATGCCAGGACTCATCAGTAAGGCTGATGACGTGCTCCCTGCCTTAGACATAGAGAAAGTGTGGGCTTAGACTATCTCGATCGCGCTTATATAGTAATCGTGCGGGAATTTCGCCGCTTGACGGGAGCGAACTATGAGGGGCTTGGCCACCTGGCGAGTGGAGCCTGAAGCGCAAGAGAAGTGAGACGCCACATTTATCGCTTCAGCTGAGTTCAAATCCCAAAGGTATTCCAAATTGTGCATATCAAGTTTAAAAATAAAAATAATCCGTTCGCTCCTTTACCTGGGCTCGCTGTGCCGGTGGATGGGTTCTCGCCGCAAACTTCAGTCTGGGCCTTGGACTACCACAAAGTGAATTGGCCGCCGACGAACTCTCAAGCCAATCGAGACAGTGGCTGGCGTTAAAGTAGCGCCCGTTGTGAACGCCGTTACTCACGGGTAAACCAATTATGGCTTTTTCGTCGTCTTCCTCGTGTTCTTCCTCGACGAATTCGTCATTGTCAAGGACGCGCCTGTGGACCTCGTTGAAGCACAGAGGGCATGCTTCGTTGTGGAACATGCACGAGTAACAACGCTCGTGGCCACAGGAATCGATCAGCCGGCGTTTTTTGCCCTTGTCGAAGGGCATGTCGCAGGACGGGCATACTGAGTTTAGGGCACCGGTTGATTCTACCAGTGCTCGGATCTGAGCTAAATCTGCAACAAAAAAAGTAAAAAAAAGTACATTTTTGGTTTGAATTTGAATCAATTGGTGCAGAAACATGACCGATTGTTACAAACAACTCATTGAAATTACTAAGTACTTTTTTCATGTGGTAATTCATCGCAAATCGACTTAGACAATGTTAAACACAGCTTTTATCCGTCTACATATCATTGTAGAATTAATTTTTGCTTAAACTTATCGCTTGTCTTAATGCTAACGCTTCAAAGATACTAAATTAGTTTTAAAATTGTTTAATAGATTTTTGAGAAAATAATATAATTACGTAATCATTGTCAATTATGTGTTAAATTAGTTTTATTGCTTATTATGTATGTATACATGTAATAAATTTTTGTCAAAAAACCATTTTATTCTTTAACTCCAAAAAAAATTATATTCACTGCCCTCCCAAATGTCAATTATATTTTTTTCTTCATTTGAAGCTGGGATAATATGTATAATAGTATTTTTTGGGTCATTTGTTCTTTATCCTCATAGTTTTTAAGCAGAAAATTCGTAAAATTAATAGAAAAGTATTTTTTTACTTGGTTAATTTTTAATCGAAGATCTAAATATAATTTAGTGCTCAATGTATATTTATTTTAATCCAAAAAAACATTTAAAAAAATTTTTCATTCTAAAATCAGCGAAAAATGAAATTTTTTTGTATATTGGAATGCTTTAAATACGTTAAAAATATAAAATGCATATATTCAAGTTGTGATGAAAACCCCCTACCAGATCCCCACATCGAACCCAATTCGATTTTGTGCATCAAGTCTCCAGTTTGAAACAAAGCCACTTGCATGGGAAAAAGACGGCTATATTTACTTACTGTTATACATTTTCATTATATACTTTCTTTTACTGTAATAAAGGAAAAAAAATGTAAAATATATATTTATGTAACACAGTAGAGCTGAAAAACAGATATATCGTAAAAAATTCAAGGTTTAATGTATTAAAAATATCAACAAAAAAGTATGAAAGACCATAATTGATGATTAAACTCTCATTTTTTTCATTAACCCAGGTTAATACAATACACGAAGCGATTTGATATCCGAGAAACATATATTGATACTAACCTAAAAAAATAACCCAATAATTCATAATACCAATGAAATTGCTTTATTAATTCATCCACACGATGACAAAAATTATTTATTTAGTATGTATTGTCTACAGAGGGAGTCGAGTGTCAGAGTCAATTTGCAAATCGCTCGGCGCCCCGGGCGGCTAAATGGCGGCTTCTTGACCGCGCTGGCGCGTACATTTCGTTTAAATTTCGATCCCATCCAAGACTTCGCGAACCATCACCGAAATTCGATCCGAAAAATAGCCCGACCCTCGAGGGTTGTAAAGATGTTTCCCATAATCCCCAGTCCCCTTGTCATTTGGTCGAAAACCCCGTAGGTACAACTTCCCGACCACACCAATTAAGGCACGACGCTCGGCATCAGAACGCAGCAGAAGTAGCAGAACGCTGCACGGGAAATCGCTTGTGCGAGAGAGACAAAGAGCAAACCCGTTCAATGCACCCATGCATATACATATACGGAAAACATGATCAGCGTGTGCGTTGCGCACGCATTGAGATTTGAGATTATTGAGAATTACGCTACACTACACTACATATCTATACAGGGAAGACGTGTGCGAGAAAGATAGAACGAGGGGTAAAAGGACACCTCTTTTAGCTTTCGCCTTTATGGCGTCAACGTGGGGGAGCGACAAAGATAGAGTTCGTGTGGTATATATGTAGACTCTGTATATACACGTCATGTGAAGAAGCGAGATAAAAGTACTCGGCCGTGCAGTGTTTTTCGCGTCGCTCGACGGTGTGCGGCACGTTTTGCTTGTGGCCAATGTGGCCATCATCTGTGTGTATTGTATGTGTATGTACGATACAGCAATAGATAGCACGCTCGGCCTCGGAGCTCTCGGAGCATGTTCATGTAGGTTATCGCAATAAACCAAAGTCTTATTGGGTATACGTAAGTAAGGTGTACTTAATGGTGTAATACACACAGCGGCACCGAGTGCAGTCAACGTAGACGTCGTAGACGAACAGCGGGGGACGAGCAGCGAGGGGCTAGGTGCGCGTCGTCACCGGGGGAGCGTGTGTATACGGTATATAGTGTACCCGACATGGCGGCGGCGGCGGCCTTGTCGTCGCTCGAGCTGAGCGCCGCCTCTTGCAACAACAGTAGCGTTATAAGCGGCGGTGGAGCCGGTAGCAGCAGCAGCAATAGCAGCATCAGCAGCAGTGCCGGCACTAACCCCACATTGGCTAATGGTACTGTTGGAAGTGGTACCACGGGTCCGGTAACCCTTTCGGTGTCGCGCGCTCGTCGTCGTCCGGCTCGATACTCGCCTGAGCCGATAATCTCAAACACGAGCATCAACAGCAGCAGCAGCAGCAGCAACAACAGCCACCACAGCAGTAATGTCCTGCTGCAGCAGCAGTTGTCCGATACGAGTGGCACGGCTGAGGCCCTAAGGGATCATCGTGATGCCTTGGTCGAGCACGAACAGCTGATGCTTCATCAACAACAACAACAACAGCACCAGGAGGGCGACAACAGCGAGGAGGAGAGCAACGGAGCCCTGGTTAACGGGGAAATGGCACCAGCCGCTGCTGTCGCTCCCACGAGGAGGAACAAGCACAGGACGAAGCGCAAGTACAAGAAAAGACAGCAGCCGAACCAGAGCGTCGAAGACGGGAGCAAGAGGCCGCGCGTGGCAAATGTTCTGCTTGAAAATGAGATGCTCATCGACGAGATCAGGGACAGAAAGGCCCTGTGGATGAGGACCCACGAGCAGCACCACTCGAGTTTGCTCACGGCACCGCTTTGGGAAGAGATTGCCAAGACCTTGGATACCACACGTAAGTTCCATCCTGTCTCCTGATAAGACAGTATACTTAGCTGTTTTTCTTACCTGTTTCACTTTTGTGGGGGAGAGGTACTTGCAGGGGGATGCATATATTTTGCGTGGGTTGTTTGTAGGTTACGTTAGTGGATGCGGCTTACCTCTCCACGATTATATTTATGTTTACACACACGATCGTGAGGGTGCAGACAATGGCAATAACATTTAACGATTGTTATTATAAACCGGTCTGCGTTGTGTATTTGCTTTCTTGGCTCTTTTTTTTCATACATTTGCATTGCAGTCATAAATACTTAGTAAGTGTAGGCTTGCGCTTTACCTGGCTGACGGATCGATAAAACTCGTGTGCTAGTGCGCAAAAAGTGGAACACTGCATGCTCGCTACAAGTATTTGTTTGGGTTATTTGCTTTAATTCATTGAAACAAGTATAAGGAAGTGTAAGTGCTGAGAAATACTTGAATATTCTTTTCGACACTAACAATAGACCAAACTTGTTCGATTGTAACGTTGCAATATATTCGTGTCAATGAACTCTCTATTTGTCATTGATAAGAATAGTAAGAAACATTAGTGCTTAAACTATTGAACTTTTTTTATGTGCTCCATTACGTAATTAAACTTGTAATTTTAATGTAAGTGTAGATGAATTCCTTATCAATTACAAAATGTGATGTAAAACTAAGTTACACATAGAAACTAATGAAAATTGAATCTAAAGAAGCTTTGAATAATTCATGAAATGTAACGTTTTTTTTTTTTAATTCTAAATTTAAGTCATCAGATTGCATGCACGTAGTAATAAACAAAAATATTCAACATGAGACATATCACGCTTCATCACAGAGACTCTTTTGTAGTTATATTCATAAGTTTGACGCTCGCTATTGTTGGTTTATTAATTGCCTTATCAGCATCAATTGAAATTCGTTGCATGCATAATACATACATTTTTTCTATGACCAAACCCAAATGGTTGAGAGTTTCCCTTCCAACAACTCATGTTTTCAACGCAGTTAGTACATCTGTTCTTAACTAAAAGTAGTAATATCTTGGCGTCTCCGTAAGTTACGCTCCTTTCCGAATTCTTATCGTTTATGTTTACCCCTGTGACGTTATCGCCTTATCTTCGCTCTTTAGAATGAAACGCTCTACACTGAGCATTCCAAAAAAATGTTTCTTGTAAAATCCATGGTATTCTGAACGTAGTGCATCAATTTGGGCAACACCTAAATATATGCACAAACATACTAAACTTATGTTAATGTGACCTTTGAATATGTACGTTTTCTTGGTAGTCTTTTTCAACATCTTTCTTTTTTTTAAACATTAATTTGCTACTGAAAATTAAAAAAAATACACCGTTTTACAAATACAATTAAAAAACAAAAATTTCACTTTTCAGAATAGTAATGCGACTTTTAGCTTTGCAATCAATAATACCAACCATCCACAGTATTCGGAAATACCCTATACAATTATCTGCACTCGCATCAGCAGCAACGGTCACTTAACGGCTACACTATACTCATTTTCTCTAAAATATCCTGCATGTTCTACAGTATACGCTAGTTATTTTGTACTATACCCTCGGTTCCTGCAGGGCGAAGAAGAAGCATAACTGCGTTAACATGCTCTCGTGCAGATGCCTTAGTTTTTTTTTTTCTTACATCTGTACAAGAATGTTCAATTACCGTCTTCCAACGACGAATCGTCCCGCAGTGAAAGCACTTAAACAGAGTTATTTAATCGATACGAGAATCTTCGTCATCTCGACGAGAGAAAAGTCAGTTTGATCGAATTAAGTGGCGTAGCACACAGTCGATAGCTTTTGTACAGATTTTATTAAGAGGCTTTGATTTATTTTTTAATGATTTTCATGAATTTTTCTTTTTTAACTTCATTTGTGTTGTGCTTGAATTGAATTTTGCCCTAAGAAAATGCATGGTACTGATTTTTTGACCAAGTTTTTAACCATTTGACGTATATTTTACAGACGAAAACATTCGACGGAGATGGAAAAGTTTAAAGGATCACTACAGGCGAGAACTGAAGAAATCCATGACAGATCCAACCGCGCCACCGTCGTCCTGGCCCTACTACAAGAAGATGCGCTTCATGAAGAGCCAAATGTTTGTGTCGCTACGCCGTAAAAACGGCGAGGATCACCTCGAAATTTTGAGCGACGATGAAGACGAGATGAGCAACCAGTGGAATGGTCGAGTGGTCACAAGCAAGATGGAAAATGGCTCTGATACAATGGATGCCTACGAGCTTAGTCAAAACTACAACGAAATGGTCAAGTACGAGCAGCATCTGCAACAGCTCAACCAAGAAGGTGAACTCGAGGGACCAGAGGAGGAGGAAGAGGACGACGAGGAGCACCCAGAGGATCAAGACGATCAGGACGAACAGAGCCACATATCGCCCATACCCACGTTACAGAGCGAAGAGGAGCACCAGCTCTCGGCGCTGCAGCAACAGGCAGAGTTGACGAGGCTGCAGCAGCAGCAACAGCAACAACAACAGCAGCAACAGCAGCCGGTGATAACTAGCGACATAGCGACCATGACGACGATGGTCAATGGTATCCCAGCCACAATTGTCACCACCACCTCGGGCAGCCTGTCTGCACAACAGCGCGAACAACTGACGAACCAGCTGAGCGAGCTGCAACAGCAGCAGCAACAGCAGCATCATATTAATGCCGCGATACAGCGAGGTCAGTCGCGCGAGATCTCCCAGGAGGAGGAAGATGAGGAGGAGGAAGAGGACGACAATCTCGCCGAGATGAACGCAAGGCACTCGCAGCTGGCGCAGCAGCGTGCCTCGATAAACAACCAGCTGAACGACATACAACGAAGGGTGAATATGTCGGCTATCCATCAGCGAGCCAACATCACGGCCATGCACAGGAATGCCGAGATTACGACGATGCAACATCGGGCAGAGATGCAGCAGCAACGTAATGGCGGGTTGGATAACACGAGCGGCGTGGAGATAAGCGACGAGAGGGGAGCCATTTCAGACGATTATCACTTTTTTATGAGCCTCATGCCACATGTCAGACACTTTACGTCGCTCCAGAAGCTCAAAGTTCGAAATCGTATACAACAGATAATTATCGAGGAGGCGTCCAATGGACCACAGTACGATCCACTAGCGAACTGTTGAGGCTAGTGCGCGTAGTGAGTGTGCATATGGACATACTGGTGAAAGTATGCGAGTGCATCCATTGATATCGGAGAACCAAAGTTTTGTGCATTTTTTTTATGAAAGTTGAACGATTGTATGTTTTTAGGGTGTGTGCGTTTTGCTTTTACCGATTATGATTTCGAATACTCATGTTTGATAACATTGGTATCTCTGGCTATTATTACTCGATGGTATAAATTTTTATTATTTGTCCACCATGTAAACATTTATCATTTTATGTAGCGAGTGCATATTGTATAAATTGACAGCGTTTTGTGTATCATAATTTTACAACATATCCGAGAGATGCAATTTATTTAGCAGAACAGAATTGAAACCGAATTACTGTTCAATAAACAAAATTTACCAAAAAATTAAAAAAAAAAACAAACAAACAAAATAAACCATGTACATAGATAATCATAATTATCACGTAATGAACCACGTAATATCAGATCTGTTGATGTGTAACTGTCACAGTTCAGTTGACAAATAAACTTTGCATAAAACTTTTGAAACATCGCTTTTTGTGTTCACAAAAACATTTTTCACCCCAAAATACCATCCGCCAGTCGAGCGTGTACCTGTACAGTTTGTCGAAATATCGTGCATCGACCGATAAACATATACTTGTATAAAATAAGGAAGGGAAAAACCGTGCAAAGACGAATAATCATAATAATAATAATCGCGGGGCCGGGGCGATAAACCTAGCACGCTTTTTACCGTTGTTTCTCCGTATTGTTCTCTCCTGCCGCTAAAAATCGCAGCACTGCATCTCCATAGGTATATAGATTGGCCATGCTTTCTGTACAACGAAACGCGCTTCTCGGATCACGAGCTCGTAGATCACCGGCGAGCGACCGAAAATTACACAGCGCGTCCGTTTGGCTCGAGCGATCCTGAAATATCGCCGATAAACCGTCTATGGTTCGCTTTATTCTTTTTTTTTTAATTCTCGAAGTATATAATATACGACTTGGCTCTGCTATGCACGTAGAAAGCGGGGTCAGCTCTCAAGATCGATACTGACTTTGATTGGCAAGTGCAAGACTCGAAGAAACTATGATTGTGCGTTCCGACGTATACTAGTATTATTAGCTCTTGGGATTCGTGAAATAACGTCGAGTTGTACGTCTTTTTATATTTTTATAATTCATTGTCTTGGCGCTTAAGCTCATCGACACGATACCAGGTAGTACATAACGATTCACGTTTGTCGTAATCGTAACATTTGTACATGATGTCGCAAAATGTCGTAAAGTTACAGGGAAATAATCTAATATTTTTAAAAAGACGAACAAGTAATGGAAAAAAAACTCATATTTCATTTGGACAAAGCATGAGTACAACGAAAGTACATAGTTCTGCAAATACAATTATATGAACGCAAAGTGTGGACGATGATGTAAATATACATTCATAACGATTTCCATGTCGATCGTGAGTACCGAAGGAAAAGATAAGGCGAGCTAATTTTTCTTTTTTACTTTGTATACTATATATAAGCACACGAAGCCCAGCGAGCGGGCAAATAAGTAAGAATATGAGCGAAAAGAACAACAGAGGAGGAAGAGAAGCTCGTGCATACCCATGAGGTGCAACGACGCGAGAGAAGGGCGGTGTAGATTCAAGTCTCGCTCTCTCCCTCTTCTCGTTTCTGACCTTATCCGCGCTCCGACTATGGTACTATTGTAATATAGTCTCTGGCGATGGGTTCACACGTCAGGTGCGTTATTATATACGCACCACGAAGAGTAGAGAACTCGAGGCTTATTACGATAGGTCAATGCACTAGATGCACGTACATGTGAGCCTTGGCACTTTTTTTTCTTCCTTCCTTTCGCGATAAATTGTATGCGTGTACATTATTTTGCTCCATCTCATTTATTTTGGTGTTCCATATGTTGCATACGAATTTTATATATATATATATATCCTTATACATCCAGTTGTAGGTGTGGATCGTTTAATTTCTGTGTTTTGTCATAGTTTTTTATTCCTTTTTTTGATAGATCAAGAGAAATATATATATACTGCTTTTGACGATTATATAGATATATTGTGATCACGACATTGTTTTTTATTCACTGTATCAAACCGTGTATTGTGTGTGGAAGAAGTATAATTTTTACTGTAAGCACGAGTGCCAACAATTTGCGAGAGATCTCTTCTATTGTAGCTCGCGACCGCGAGGGTGAAAAATTTTTATACACGTGAGAAAAATAAAATTAATCAACGATTTGAACAAACGTATTGTACGTGGAGTTATTTCGTACCTCCCTGATTTTTCATTTCTCACTAGTTGCTAAACAAACGAACGAGAGGCAAAACGAAAGTTCACGAAGGAGGTTAGGAACACACACGCCGCACCGGCCGGTGTAAATACAGAGGAGAGGCAATCAGGGTCAACCACCTGGTACGAGAAACAAAAGCACGTAATCGGTGCCTAACGCGTGTCGATCGAGCTTCTGATGTTTCTCCTAATGGCTCAACGGAGCAAATGTAGTCAAACACGAGTTGTCTACCGGTTTTTTTCCCTCGATTAGCCATGAAAAAAATCGGTTGTACGAAACCGGGATGCGCGTGCATACGATCGTTAATATTGCGAAGTGGTCGGTCTTTTGCACAAGTTGCAACAATAATATTACCGATCGCGTCTTGTTATCGTCAAAGTCGTTTGTACATACACGCACTACACAAATGGCTGCAGTTAATAAATATCGAACGGACGCAGAAAAAAAAGGTGAAACAAATTAGTAAAAAAACGCGAGCCATCGATTCGTGTAATGATTCGAAATTGCCGTTCGCGAGCAGAGCTCTTGCATCATCGTCGTCTGGCCATATCCCCTGTGTAGCAAGTCGATCGAGCACAAAAAATAAAAGAAGTCGCGGACTCGCGAGTAGCGGCACTAAGTGTACCGCGTCTCGGGCCACCTGTCAGTCTTCTTCTTCCCTACACGAAGTAACCTGACCACCGCGAAAGATGAGTTTCCGCTCGATCTTGCTCCGCTTTTCACCAAGACGACGACCTCAATCGAGAAACTCCACGCGAACGGTTGTGTATACGCGTTGTTGGGGGATGCACGTAATTTTATGTACATCGACGGGAAACGATTAATTTGTGCCAGGAAAAATGCCACGCCACATCGGTTTTTATTTATTTATTTTTTTGTCTTTACGGTTGATTATTTTTATCGTTTCGGACGTTCATGTTTACGAAAAAATGTACTTTTTTCTGTTTAATTTGTAATTAAAACTACATTGTAAATTTTCATAAAATGCATACGTACTACCATAATATTACAGAATATGCATTTCATATCATCTATTATTCATAGAAGCGATTTCTTTGAACGAAATGAAAAAAGGGGGGGAAGAGCAAACAACAAAACCATACACTCTCTCTTACTTCGTGTGGTTATTACACTTGAAATTGCAGTATGCAATAATATAATACGTAGGTATAAAAGTATATTATACCCTCGTTTGCTGGTTCGCCGAAAATCGTGAAGTCTCAAAACCCCAAACGATCGGTAATTGGGTCTTTACTCCGCGCTTCTTCTCTTTTCTGCGAATTAAAAAAAAAGAATGTTATTTCGCACTGGTGTTGTTGCTGTACGCCCTCAGGCGTTCTCTTCGCGCGTGCGAATATGTGCGCCACGTGTATATACTTACGTGCGCTTCCGTTACGCTCAATCAGCGCGCCTCGATACTTAAGTATGTACTTGCACGAGGAACGAATCGATACGCTCCGAGCATACGAAAGACAAAGAAAAATCGGCAAATTTCAGATAAACGTACAGAAGTAGGCACCTAACCAGTGTGTTTAATTTTAAACGACTGTCAAACTTTTCGTTAATTTCCTCCGTTTTTTTTTGTCACTATTCTCTCTGTGAGCATTTATTTCTAAGTACAAGTGCCTTGTTTATTGTTCATACTCGCACTTGCAATGTGGTCGTGCGTCAAAATGCGGAAATTGCGAAAAATGCTAAACAAGCCTGCGGCCCGCTTTTTTTCGGTTTCGTCATTTTTAATGACTTTCGATCGAGAAAACAACTGGTGTTAATAGATCGGCAAACTATATATATTGGCGGCCTTATACCGAGGGCACACTCAATCTTTCGGCAAACCACATAATCAACGGTTTTCAAGGTTCATTCTTGGCGTGTATAAAGCAACTATCAAAGTCGATGAAAATTGTTTGGTACAAATCGAAAGACAAAAAGTAAACAATTAGCAGTGAGAAGATTTAATCCCATTCAAATTTTGAGCAAAAGGTATGTAATTTTTTGTTTTTGCTTTATCATGTAACGTTTTTTTTTTCCGATTCGATTAGGAAACTGACATTTTTACCCTTAAATGATCTATAGATCAAAGCTTACACAGACCAATACCATACATGTCCCTTTAATTTTCATCCTCGCTATAACATTTGGAATTTTTGTACTTATACATGCGATACACATGTTATGCTTGTAACATCGAGAGAAGAGAAGGGAAAAAAAGTTACGTGTATGTATGACGTATAATATTCATAGCAGCGTCTGGTTTACCGTTACATGGATGCGACTTAAGGTATATACATATATCTCAACGCTGTTGTTTATTACTGCGAGGGATGAATAATGGGAGAAAGGATGCATGATTTAGGAAAAGCCGGCGCCTTTGTTGCTCAATTCTCCCGATGGATAAGTATCTGAATTACGCTGAACTTCTTTAAAACCATCGGTGCACCATAAATATATAAATAAGACTCCGCATTCGCATAAATAGAGAGAGAGAGAGAGAGAGAGAGCCTGGATTTATCCGTACCTGTACGTATATACGCGCAAGCAGATTTAAAACCGCGTAAAAAGTATCGTATATACTGTTATCAAAATTAAGCGATCCGATTAGCGATCTTCTCCTCTGCATGAGCCGGCAAAGCTCCAGATCAATAACATTAAGATCGTGCATTTTTCATTCCACTTTACACGCGAGCTACAGCTGCAGGATCAATTAGGCTCGGGAATATTTTAGGTACACGATGAAAGAACGAGAAAAAGAACAAGCACGCAAAGTCGAGGCACTCGGAGTAACTAATTGTATCCATTATGCGTATCATTTTGCAAAACTATCGCGGTGTATATGTATACTTATGGCAGAAGGGAGGTAACGAGATTCTATGCAACTGTGCCGGCGATTAAGCATATGTGCCCGGCCGGCCGGCCGGCTTATCTACCGGGCACGTTTTCATCGCGAAAATAAGAATATATATATATATATATAACTCATAAATATATATATATGTATTTTGTGGAGAAGCACGTATTGAAGAAAACGGCTGTGTCTTTTCCTTCGTATTACGAGAGTGTAGGGAGAGATCGTTAAAAATTTAACGCCGACTCCGAGAAGTATCACAACCACCCGCGAGACTTCTACTAATAAATTTAATTATGAATACGCGTATGTATACGAGTGTGTGCCTCTTTGCAAGCGCTAAAACAGATTTTTCCTTAATTATGCGTTTTAGCGG